GCAACATTTTCTAAGTTGAAGTAAATTCAATTATATGGAAGCAAAGTGAGTATCTATGATTTTATCCAGAAATGTGCAATTTTTTATTTTGGGGCTCACGCATTTAACGCCTTTCCTGTTTATTTTTTTAATTTTTTAATTTTTTTTAAACAATGGACACTGGTGAGCAGCACAAAGCAACCGAGTATCTTGTTAACTTGAGTTATTTCTCCGACACGTTTCGTCTGATCACACAGACTTCATCAGGGAGCATAATAAGATGGATAATAGACAAATCAAGCATCAAGCAGTGTTGGCGTGACAGTCTGGCAGTTTATTTATTGACAGGTGATGATTAATTTCGAAACCCGCCAAAAGAGGATCACACCAACACAGTTCAAACACAGTGTTTGGTATAAGTTTCGTTAAGAAAGGCCGTCAGGATCAGGGAAGGACGGAGAGGAGGCAACTTGAGTAGCAACTTGGGCGGCCAAGGTGTAGCGCTGTCGGAGTGGTCTCGCAAGGTACTCGAGGTAAGCAGTAGAGGCCCAGTCGCCTTGAAGTTGAATTAATTCGTGGAAGATACCTAGGGAGCTTGCATAGGTGGCTCCGCCACGGCGAAATGAATGTCCGGAATAATCGTCGGGGGTGAAACCTGCAAGGTCAAGGAGATCTTTTAGGTGTTTGGTGAACGAGCTGTAAGAGAGGGAACGAAGACCATGCGCCGCGGGGATAACAAAAGCAGGACTGGAGGCCGGAGCTGGACACGTGTCGAAGAACTTGCGGAGAGCGTGAACTGGACATAAGGCATGAGACGGTATGGAAACTAAGGGAATGAGGAGCGTCCGCTCGCGAAATTGGTTGACTTTAGACCATTTGACAGAAACGATAAGGCCCCACGAAGTAAAGTAAAAGTCGGAGCGTGAAAGGTGCTTGTTCGGTGAAAACTGCGAGTGACTTGGAAGGATGATATTTGACTTGCAAAAGAAGCTGAAGAAACCAAGAAGGAAAGCCGCCCAGGGAGCGAGGTGAAGTGGCAGGGAGAGGTCCATGACATCACGAAGAGCCAAGAGAATAGTAGGTGTGATCGGGAGCTTGCGTTTAACCGACGCGGAGAGAAGACGTTTCAGGCCTCGTAGCGTAAGTTGCACGCGACAATGGGAGATAGGAGGAGGTGGGTAGTCGAACATGACGTGGAACCAGCGGAGACCATCCAAATAGTTAGCGATGGACGAATACTTTAGTGTGCGGCTCAGGTACACACAGTAGCGACAAAGGTTCCTAACCGAAATAGGGAATGGGGACGTCTGAAACAGGCAGCAAAATCGGAGGTATTTCAGGGCTTGAGACTTGCGAGTGGCGAGAGTGGAGGAGGCATAAGCGTTGGAAATGACCAAGGCAACGGCGTCGTCGAGAAAATCGCCAACATCTAGGAGAGAAGGAGAAGGGGCCCAATTACACCAATCAAGAACTAGATCGAGCTGGCGCAGAGCGCGAGGCGAACCGAGACTGATTGACCCGTGGCGCGTCGGGTTAGTGAATGTTATACAATCAAACGGAAGTGCGTCACTTAAGTGTCAATTATACCCAGATAAACCTAGTCGTTTTATTACCGGGGCCCAGCCGAAGGCTGGCACCGGTCTTAAAATGCAGACGGTCCGTTTTTTCAACGTTACATTGTTAGGGATATATCGCTAACTGAGATATATCGCTGGCTCATTGAAATCTTATCCGCCATTTTGAAAAGAAGGAGGCATGGAGGACAGTCAAGAGAAAGATTATAGCTTTTTGGGGAACGACACGTTCCCCAACCTTTACGATGCACTAGTTTATGAGCGAAAATTTAAGAGTGAATATTTGGAGAGACAAATTTATGAGCGATCACTTAAGAGTGAACCTTCCATCGTGAAACTTATCGAGAAATTGAGTGAACCTTCCATCGTGAAATTTATCGAGAATCAAAGCAAACACTTATCAAAATTTGTCTTCAAAAAGATTTCAATGATTGACATACCGAAGTCTTCAAAGCTCCATCGCTATGTTAATAAGGTGAGAAAACCTTATCATGCACGATATATATGTAATAACAAATGCGATCAAAAGATAATTAACTTAAATAAAATGGCTATACCCAAGAAAGCTCATTTGTTGTCTTTCTTTGGCAGGCATTATCACAGGATAATGAAGCTAAAATGTAAAGCACGACGATATTTATCATTGTTTTCTTGCAATTGTGTGAGTCATATGACCAATTATGTGAATTTCGAACTAAGTAAAGATGTTGAGAAGAATCCAGGACCTACTCAATACAACACTGATCATCATGAAGTAATAATTAGACCTTCTATGCAAAATCACAGCTCAACAATGCAGTTGAACTCTCCTATTTCCTCTGAGAATTTGATGCAGTCAAGATTAGGTGCACTCTGTTTACAATCAATAGATGTTGGCGGTGCAGGTGATTGTTTCTTTAGATCTGTATCACATCAATTATATGGCAATAGCAACCATCATATGCATA